TTGGATTTACAACATTATGAATGAAAACATTATGAATGAAATGTGCTCTATTTGGAGGCAGCAGGTCTCCCTCCCCTTTCCACCGGTTGTGTACTGCATGCAGTGGAGATGACAATAAAGTTTTACTTTGACTTCAGCAGCGAGCAGGCGCACCGAGGGCTCTCGCGCTCACTTTTCGCGTACAGAAAAACGTCGGTGCAAATTATAAGTCCCCCGCCGCCCCACCCTCTCCTCCCTGTGCCGCAAGCAGAAGGCGCACTTCGCAAACGGAGAGCGCCCTTACTCCCAGCAAATGGGCGATAGAAAACCGATCGGTGCCTATGCCATTCCCAGTATGCGCTGGCTGATGTCGGGGCAGCATGAGTGCGAGCAATTTATTTATTTTTTTCCGATGCCCACGATGCCGCCCCCCACCACGATGCCGCCCCGGGCAACCGCCCGTGTCGCCCGTATCAAAAACCGCTACTGACCATCCACACCCACCAACTAACCTGACCCACTTGCTGCATGTCTTTGGACCTTGGGAGGAAGCACAGACCCACACAGGAGAACATGCAAACTGTGGACTAGTGAAATTTCTCTTTCTGGTAGTTGAAAGAAGTTAAATAAATAACATATTTAATCACTAATTTATTTATTTATTTTTACAATGCATCTCAGTTTTTTTTTACACGATAAACAAAAAGCTGCTTTGAGTTTAATTTTGCAGGAATAAAATACACAAAATTACAGAAAAAATTCTAACAACTCATTGTGCAGCCTGTCCTATAATTTTGTTTGTTTGTTCTTTACTGTGAAACCACTGTAAAAAAATGTATATCTATATTTTACCCAGCTTAGATTATGGGATGGGAATTAACTGCAGATGCTAAACAAAGTGTGAAAAGTGCCATCATTACTCTGAATTTGTTTGACAGTATAAACTATAACACTGTAACACACTGCGTTATGGATGGGCCTCGGGGTCCACGCCCACACAGTGAATTCACTGCGTTGAACTCTTCTGATACACTTAAGCTACAAGTTACACTAATTCACACAGATTAATAATAAAAACATTAAACAGTCATAGCACAGCTATTGGACTGTAAACTCAATTGAATTATTCTGTGCTGGTAAGCAGCATGACTGAAGACGACACTGAGCGATGACCCAGTGCAGAGCAGTCGTGTCTCTTTGTGTGTCTGTTTGTGTCTTTGAGACTAAAAAGAGTCAATTTCAGCTTCTACAGCCAGTTATAAAAAATGGCCCTTCTGGAAAATTTCAAAAAAAGAGCAACGAGGATAATGTGCACAGTCCTATTGTGTGATGAGTTCACTGATCTATTTCTAAATCAGAAAAAATATCTCTCCTGTTACCTCCTCTGCTAGCACAGATATTTTCACAGTTTTATAACTGTTGCTACAATTTTCTGAGTATATGTGTGTGTGTGTTTTTAATAACAAAATATTATTTTATAAAAAAAAAAT